TTTTTTTTTTTTTTTTTTTGGACAGTGATCCCTTTTTATATGTTATATATCTTATAAATCTGCATTCGTGATAATAATTGCAGAATTTTTTTTAATTGTACTCGCTGTTTAGAGATCGCGAACGACTTAAGAGCAACGCTGCAAAAATTAAATTTAAAATTTCGAGCAGGAATGAAAGTTAAATTAAAACGGGACAAAGCGAGGTCATAGTTTCGCAGCTCTGGAAAGTTCCTATATTAAATTATGTCGTTTCAAGAAGAAAGTTTGACAATAAATATTTGAAAACAAGGTTAATTATTATTTTTTCCTTCGTGCGTACAGCATCAAATATCTTCGATGCTTCGACATGAATTATAAGTGATCTTTCCGGCATTAAAAGATACGAAGTTCTGATTCTTTCAATGTCCTATAATTATTTTTCAAAAAACTTTCCTTCGCTCAAAAGTCGTCCAATTGTAAGAGTCGACAATTTTTTAATTGCAGAGATCCTTCATTGCCCAAAGGCTATGTTATTTGACTTTTTTTTTTCAATTCTGAAACAAATAATAATTAACCCGTTTGAAAAACTTTTGAACATGGTTGGGGGTGTATGTACATGTTTTAATTAGTTCATGGCTGAAAAACCTGCCTTTCACAGCCAAAGGGAAGACCGTTGATGCTAATCAAGAGATGCTGGCTTTGGGACTTTGTAACATTTTCGGGAGCTTTTCTCGATCAATGCCAACCACAGGAAGCTTTACAAGGACCGCCGTAAACAACGCTTCGGGTGTAAAAACACCGATGGGCGGTGTAATTACTGGATGCCTGGTGCTTTTAGCGTGCGGCCTTCTGACCTCGACTTTCGAATTCATCCCGAAAGCAACGCTCGCTGCAGTGATTATAGTCGCCATGTACTACATGCTTGAACTTCATATTTTCACCGTGCTTTGGAGAACGAAGAGTAAGGATCCGATTAAGCCGGGGAAAAATTACGTTCGGTGCATCGTAGCTGGTCTCATTTCGACGTTTCGACCTCACCGAGAGATTGAAAAGCCTTTCAAACGTCTCGTGTGTAATACCGTGAAAGATTGTCTATTAACGTTCCCAGCGTGAAAAAAAAAACAGAAGAGGCGTCTCTTGAAAGGGAACAGGAAAATTAATAGCTTTAATATTAATTAAAAATTTCGGTGGGAAACTAAAAATTGTATCTCGTCGCATCATCACTTTGATTGAACACAGAGTTTCAAAAATTTCAATTTAAAAAACGTAACTCATTTCTCTCACGTTCTTTTTTCTTTTCTCTTTTCTCTTCGTGTTCTCTCGGTTCAACTTATTTTCATAAATACACGAACGAGCAGAATTTGGCGGCGACGAGAGTCTGTCGCGGCAAAGTGAAATGATATTCCGCTACGACATCGCCAGCCCTCTTGTCTACAAGCCGTAGTTCTAACAGTTCACTCACCACGCGGAAATTCCATTCGTACGACAGTTGACTGTGTCACAGGATCGTAGTAATTTAGCGTTTGTCTCTGCTTCGTAGAAATTGACTTGATACCTTTGACGGTGACTTTGTTGAGCTGCCTGGCAATTGGTCCAGAATACGGCATGATTGCTGGGATCGCGGTAAATCTAATTCTGCTGCTCTATTTCGCGGCCAGGCCTGGCTTATTGATCGAGGAACGTGTTGTCGATGGGCTGACGATCCTATTTGTATCGCCGAAACAATCACTGAGTTATCCAGCTGCGGAATACCTTCGTGAACGGGTGATGTCGTCGTGAGTAAAGTCGCCTATTATCGCTTCTCGCCAGCCTGGTTAATTGGACTATAAATCGGCGGGCTCGCGGTGTCTACTGTCAAAGTCGTTCGTTTTATTTGCCCCCGGTGTGGTGTAATCGGACGTTATTGTGTTCCTTGTAGGTGTGACGGCAAAACCATCCCCGTGGTAGTGGAAGGCCGTCACGTGCTTAGAATCGATGCGACCGTCGCCAAGAACCTCACTTTGCTTCTGACCGACTTGGAGGCGAGGGATCAGAAGCTGGTCTTCTGGAATTGGTGCGAGGAAGCCAAGAGAACTTTGATAAGCTACGACGCCTCCCTGGCCATGTCCTTCAGAAGTTCCGGCAGCATAGCTCAGATATTTTCAGCTAGAGCCGCGTCGCCTCATGTCCCACGCGAGTGAAATTCTGGATCTAATGAATGCGCGGGACACTTTCCTTGTGGAATGTGCTCCACCGACGAAAGAGCCACCGTTTTCGCTTTTCAGACCGATTCACCGTTTCAACGCGAACGCAACGTTGAACGTGTTTTATTTAAACGACGGAACGCGGCCTCGGTCAAGATTAATCCTCCGTGGAGCTTCGGTCGCCTTCAATTTGCCTTTCGATGCCTCAAGATCCATTGAAATTGCTCGAACCCGGGGCTGTAGGGTAAGTGCTATTTCAAACAGCATCTCGACCGATCGTTTTACGAGGCTAAGATGGCTAGAGATCGTGCCTTTTAACGCTTTATGGGGAATTTAATGGGATAAAAGCAATACGGTTTTTATGTCTGTGCAAGAGGAAGAGATGAATTTGAACCGGCACATGAAACGATGATATTTTTTCACGTTGTGAAACTCGCGCAATTTCGACTGAAACGTATTGTCATATTCTTTTGTACAAAGTATTGGATTATAAACTTGTAACGAGGATTTAATTCAGAGCTTGATTCAAGGATCTGCATTATCAATTTAGCAAGTATAATTCTCTAATAATGTACAATTCTCAGTACGCAATTTTTGCATTCGTATTATTTTGTCTGAAGTTGATTTGCTTCTTTTTCTTCTTTTTTTTTTTTTTTTTTTTTACGTAATAACAGAATGGAAAATTACAATTCGTCTTAAAATTAATTTCGAGAAGGCAGGTAATCGTTCCACGTGAAATAAGAAAACAATTTCTGCAAAAGTTTCTGTATTAGATTTTATAAAATCCTAATTTTTTAGCCATTACTTTAAATGGCACTTATTTCAAAGATATTATACATCTTTTGCTCTTATCTTCCTAATTTAACTTAATTTTCTACTTTAGACGGGAAAACGTGAGGTATAATCACGTTTTTTCAAATTTACAAATAGATATGATCTTTTTCAATCTTCCTCCGATTATTACGGAATAAGTGTGATCGCGTGTTGTTTTGCGCTCGGCGATAAGTAATGATAGATTTGATATTCGACCTTAACTATCATGGCTGAAAATTTACCATAGCACGTGTTTCTTTGAAATTAAAAACTTGACAAAGTTGAACAAAATTTAATAAAACGTTTTCTTATTATTCAGTAATTAAAAATATTCAGTAATTTATTATTACTCAATAATTAAAAAATAGAAAATTCTATCTCGTCATGGTTAATATTAATAATAATAATAATATTGCCATAGTATTGTTACATAAAACTACACAATATTAAACTACATAAAATTCGCAGGGGTGAAATTTCACTTATGATAACTTTTAAGAGTTATATGTCGAATCATGTAAATATATAGAAGTATTGTGAACATATTGAAGCATCTCGATTCGTTTCAGTTAATGTAAGATTTAAGCTATTTACGGGCCAAAGTGATTAACTCCGTTTTTTGAACGTTCTTTTTTTTTCAATTTTAGTACTAAAGTACTTGCTTTGATGATTAACTTTTTGTATAATAACTAACTAATCAAAATAATTAAGCTTAACATCAAAGATGTTATTTCAAAGATATTCTATTTTTTTTTAAATAAAAGCTACAATTAGCTGATGAGAGCTAATTACAGTAGAACTTTGTTTATTTTTATTTGTTTCAATAATAATAACTACTTCTACTGTATGTGAAATATACAACAATATATAAATAAACGAAGTTTTTCTGTATACGAAATATGATACAAATATGATATCATATAATTTGATATTTTTAGTATTAAAATATTAAAATATAAAATGTAAAATAAAGTCTTGTGTAAAAGCTGTAATATGTCCTACAATTATTTCAGTTTAAATTTTGAAGAGGATTTTTAAAACGGATATATATTATTTTTTTAATGTCTCTGTTTTTTTGTTTCGCAGAGTTAATCGATTTGGTAAATGGCTGATTTACGTTATGTCACGCGATGTCAATAGACAGAAATGAAACTTTATTCGAATGTTCCGACGAATAATTATCAGAAAGTTTTATAAGAGAAATTCTCATCGTGACTATGTGACTCTGAATAGCAAGCATTTACACTGATTCTATTATAATATTATGTATGCGCATGTGAAATTATTCTTCCGAGAGATGCATGAGATTAATTCAAACGATGATAATTTTATTTGATATTCAATGTATTGCTTATAAGTATTTGGATACTTTTGTCGATTCGACAAAGTTTTTTGCGATTTTTAATGTTAAACTGACTACTTGAATGTTATGAAAAATAAGCAAATGTTCGAATATTTCTAAGACAAGCACGTCTCTAACTTTTAATAAAATTAAAAATAGAAAAAGATCTGAAATATTTGAATCATAAATATGTTTCTCAACGTTGAAATACAATTCCATTCTTTAGTTTTCGATGTTTTCAAAAGATAGTTCTGTTTCTGAGTAGCACAAAGTAGTTCTAGTTATCAGTATAATTGAAATGACATTGTACCTGCGATAAAAATGCGATAGAAATAGTATACTATAATAATTATTTAAAACGTTTGAAAGAAACGTTAGTCTAATCCAGGAGTATGCGAAATATTCAATGAAACAATCTCAACTTTCTCAATATGGAAGGTTCGTTTCAGGGCTTTCGGAATTCATTCAATGATTTTAAACTCAACGTAATTTAGACATTCAAATCCAATGATTTAAAGCTCAATCTATTTGTAATTTTTTTCAATAACAGAATTTCAGAATATTTAATTGAATTTTAAACGTACATGTAATTAGAAATGTATGGAAATTTTAAACCGACTAAACATGATATAAACTTATATTTATTTTCCAGAGACAAAATATGGCTATTTTTGTGCAAATCTATAAGAATAATCATTCTAATTCGTATTTCCGCAAATATTATTAACGAACAACAAATTCGTCACGAACATATATTGTGTATTTTTAGTTATGTTTACGACGATTATGCAACAAGAATGTCCAGATTGTCTACTACATGCTAGTTCAATTTAGCATGTTATTTAACGTTTTTATTTAGATCTTCTATCAAAACTCATGTTATTACATAATTATTAGCAAAACAATAAACTAAGCGTGACTTAAAAGACGATTATTTCAATTACAGCGACAGCTTATTATACACACGCCATATCATCGTTTAATAAAAAAAAAAAAAAAAAAAAAAAATAAAATTACGCGCAAATAAAGTGTACTTCAGAACTAACCAACTTCTTATTCTTGTTTCTCACAAATTATCGACTCGTCTGACACGATTCGATAATATTGAAATATATAAAAAGTTAAAAATATATCGCGGAGGGTGCTTCCGCGCCCTTTTTTCCCCGCGCGAGTGCGCACGCGCATGAGGATGCCCCGCGTTCGCGGCTGCGCGCGCATCGCACGGTCGACCAATAGGGAAGCCGGGTAGTAGAGGGTGCTTCGATCGATGCACTCGCCCTAGGAGCGTGCGCCAGTGGGCGACCGTTTACAACGCGATAAGCGTCGCGGCGCCCTCGATGACAGGCAAGTTGAGGACGTCGTCCCAGTACCGTAGTCCGCTTTCGCATTCGGTTGTGTTTCGTCGCGCGGGTTCGTCCTCGCGTCAATTCGCTGGGAAAACGAAGTTTCCACTCCTGCTACCGGTCCGTCGCGGTGTTTGTTACATTTCCTTTCTTGTCCACGACGAGGCGACCGTCAACGCGGCCGCGATGAGACAATGAGCCGAGCGACCACGAGCGAGAACGACAGCTGTCAAGAAGATGCCGGTACACCGATCGAGCACGGGAAATGCGGCCCAGCTGGAGCAGAGTATCGCTGCGTAATCGTGAGTAAACTTTTTGAATTTCATCGTGCCAACGTCGTGATTCGAACTCGTGCCGGAGCTAGTTTCTTATATAGAGGTCAGTGTACCTTGACAGTTGGTCAATTTCTGTCACGATTAACCGATATACGGTGGCGAGAGGCTTGTGTCTCGTGGATTCGTGCATGTGTGTCACGATTCGGTTGACCGTAGTCGGCCTAACCTTCAAAACTCTCCATCGTTACGCCTGGGATTTCTAATTCGTGCAATCTCGTTTCGTATTTATTAACGTCCTATCATTCGTGTCGGCTCGCGATTCTTCTCTTTGACATTTTCGAAATTGGAGATTGATGCTCGTTCGTGATTTTAGTAGGTTAGGTGTAAATATCGATTCGAGGTTGTTTTAAAGACGATGCCTTCGTAGCAATTGAAAGATCATTCGAAATTGAATCGCTGGTATCGTATATTTAAAAATTGGAGTATAGTTTTACATTTATTATACTTTTAAATAGTAATGCATTCTAAATATAGACTGTACGTCAGTTGAGAAGAGTGATTTACGACAATCTGCGTTTAATAACTGTTATTTCTATAATGTTTAATTAACTAGTTTGTTTTAAAAACAAATCGTTTGTTGGTACAAATCAGTTGAAAGGACGTAACGTGGTCAATGCAAATTTTCGCGTGAATTGCACGCGATTTATTCAAATACGAATTTTTAATTACATCGTGACACCGGAAGTTTCGTCGACATATGTATGTGTGTGGACGCTTAATAAGAGCATCGGAACGAATTTTAATTCAGTCGGATGTTCTTTCTGATCTCGTGCATAATCATCACCGTGTTCATTTGTGCTTTTTAAATATTCGGTCTAAATTTGACTAATTATTGAAAATCAAAATTTTTGTAGTCAATGCAAAATACGTCGCAAATGAATTACAAAAAAATATAAATTGCAATGAATAATGTAAAAAAAAAAAGAACATTGAGATACTTTTACAGAATATTTATATTTAGAGTTAGTTAGAAAACTTCTTTCGTCTGAAATTTCGTTCATATCATTCATTTGAAAGTAATAAAAGTGATTGTTCTTAAATCGAATGAAAAATTTTCTTGATTCAAATTTCTTCTGCCCCTAAAAATCTGTGTTTTAGAAATCTCTTTGCGTAATTTTTCAAGCTTTACTTGAAAGGTCAAAAATATTTCCAGCATGTTTTAAGATAGAAATTTCTTTAGTAGATAAATTGATGAACGAAAATTTATTATTTGCTAAAGAAACGATGAGTAATAATACGCTGTAATCAGGATACAATTAGAAGTTCATTAGATAATTTTGGAGAATTAATTAAATGGCGGAGATGAGGTTGATGCTCTGCGATTTAATACGCTGGTTATTGAATAGGGTAAAATTCATCGTTTAATGTTATAATAAAAATTACAAGTAAGAGCTTACGGACAAACAAAATTATACTTGCCAGTCTTTTAGTTTATGACATTATATCTATATCTATATTTCTGTCTGCATCTATAGTTTTAGAATTTTTAATTCAATTTTTGTATTTTTAGAACAGTTTCATTCACACAACTGTAGTATGATAATGAATTTTTACTATTCTTGGGACAAAGAATCTCGTTTATTGTAATGTCATTTCTATTTTTTTTTTTGAAACACGATGCAAATTTAGACAGAAATAAGAAAAAGGAAATATAATGGGAAGAAAAAGACTGAAGTATTTCGTCATGTTATTTTTATTTTTATTTTTTTTTTTTTTTAGACAGAATGAAAATAAATAAATCCTATTCGCATGAAAACAGAGGGAAGGTAATAATAGAATGGTAATCTTGTTTAATCAATTATTGGAATAAACAGTAGATG